TTCAGAGATTAAAGTCAGAATTCAGAGATTAAAGTCAGAATTCAGAGATCAAAGTCAGAATTCAGAGATCAAAGTCAGAATTCAGAGATCAAAGGCAGAATTCAGAGATCAAAGTCAGAATTCAGAGAAAAAAAAGTCAGAAATCAGAGATTAAAGTCAGAATTAAGAGATTAAAGTCAGAATTTAAAGATTTAAGTCAGAATTTAAAGATTTAAGTCAGAATTTAAAGATTTAAGTCAGAATTCACAGATTAAAGTCAGAATTCACAGATCAAAGTCAGAATTCAGAGATCAAAGTCAGAATTCAGAGATCAAAGTCAGAATTCGGAGAAAAAAAGTCAGAATTCGGAGGAAAAAAAAGTCAGAAATCAGAGATTAAAGTTAGAAATCAGAGATTAAAGTCAGAATTCAGAGATTAATGTCAGAATTTGGAGATCAAAGTCAGAATTCTGACTTTTTCCCCATATTAAACTTAAATAAAATTTAAAAATCAGTTAACTTTTTTTATTTTTTCACTGGCCCTAATCCTCTTCCGTACACCAATATATCCAGGGATGGCATTAATAAAAGCAAATATACAGTGAAGCATATCCACACCCAGATTATCAGCCTGGAAACGACCTGGTTCATTCAGATCGACCGTTTCTCAGCCTGAATGCGCCCAAAACTTTGAGTGAATGTGTCCCACCCTGCAGAAGTAGATCAGACCTGGCCTTTGGTAGCAGCAGACCGCAGCCATGCATGCCAACACATAGACAGTAGAACTGACTTTACTTTCCTGGATCCAAAACAAATAGTTTAAAATACACAGCCAAGTTTAATGAGGATGTATTCTACTTCAAAAAAAAAAAAAATAATAATAATTGGAAAACTTTTTTGTATCATGTTCCTTCCAAAAATTCTAAGATAAACGAATTTTTAAAAAACATTTTTGTTTAAAATGTAAAAAAAAAAAAAACATTTAAAAATAGTGACATCTGAGTCCTGCAGTTTTGTTTTTTTCTTTCTTGATGCCGTCGCTGTACGCTGAAAAGTGGAAGTAGTGCTCTCGGAAATCGTGTTAAAGTGACACCCGTCTCCCCAGTAAAGATCATAAGTAAAGGTCCTGAAATATTCGCGTTGCCCCGCTACAGGCCTTAAAAAGTAGTTAAAGAAACAGATCTGGTATCGCTGCACCGCTTTGCCCTGTCTGGCCTCCCCCTCAATCTCCGTTATTTAATCGTGTTTCGGGTAAACTGGGGGAATAAAAGCTGTTTTTTTTTATTTTAGAAGAGAAGCTTTTAACACCACTGACCTGAATAAACTGTATAGTCAAAGCTGATTTCCCGACGCCTCCGCCTCCAACCACCACCAGTCGGTACTTCTCCTGCACCGAGCCGTCCTTCCAGCCAGCCATCGAGGACACTTCGCGCCGCCGCAGCTGCTGCCGAAACACCAGTGAGCAGCAAACACCCACTTTCCCCCAGAAGAAGACCGAGGCCCTGCAGTGGAGGCACCGGGGCGCAGGCCTGGCTGTGCGCTGGATTAGCTCGTCAGCGTAGTCCGATCAGCGCTCGGGAGTCGGTGGTGCTCGAAAAAGGGATGGAGGAGCTACGGTCGCCTGTCCATAAACCTGACCGTTTCCCAGCCTCAACAACACTGCGCTGTTCGAGATGAAGGTCCGACACTGGGAGTAATTTAACAGCCCTACTTATGTCTACCGCTAGAGGCGCTAGAGAGCTTCAGGCGCACTTCACACACACGCGCTGCAGCCTTGTTCTAATAAATAAAGCGCTCCTGTCCTCAATGACGTTTTCCTTACTCACATGATCTGCACTCATAATTCAAATATAAGCCAATATAAAATTAAAGTTAAAACTATTTTTGAGCCACAGTAATACACCTTTGGGTGAAAATTAAGCACCATATTTGATACCCTGGTATTAAAGTAGTCTAATTAAGAAGACAACCACTTTATTGGGATTCCAGAATTTTTGATTGTTTGCTAAACATTAAGTAGCTCCTATGGAGAATTCAATGTATTTTCTGTAGTGGTAAAAGCCTTTTCTCTTTGAAATTGTTTGTATTTAAATGCTCCTTCTAGTATCATCTACAATTGCCATGCATCAGTAACTGAAGAAATAGGCCCCTAAACAATACCCAACTATGCTTATAATGCAATCATCTGTTAAAAGTGTAAATAAAGAGAAAATTGCCAATTTGTTTAGAAAGCCTGATTTTAAACATCCGTTTTGTTTGTGTAATTATTTATGTTTAGGACTGTTTTTAGTATATTTAATTAACTTCTGAGGAGCAAAGGTTGAATCTAATGTGGTTGACCCACATTTTAGAGGTGTGGTGTGAATTACATTTAGGATAAGGTTAGGGATATACTGATATGGGTTAGGGCTAATTTCAAGGTTAGGCATAAATGCAGTAAATAAACTGGGTGTGAGTAAATTCCCCAAATGGTTAAAAACTCTAACTTGTATGCGTACCTGTCTAGGCATTAGAGTGAGGACTGTTTTTTCTGATTTCACCATCACATTGAGACATTGACAGCAAGCACTTATTTGATGAGATTTACAAAAGGTGGCAAAAGAAATACAGAAATATAAGACTAAAGATGAAATTTAACTTTCATATTTGTGTCAAAAATTCTTTAATCCAGAATGTATTATTTGAATTCAGCAATTATTCTGAGTCTAAAGGTCTTATATTGCATAACTCATATTTAACACGTCTATTGAGACAGGCATAAACTTGTGTGAATTTTTTTCTTCTTCCTCAGAAGTAGTTAGAGAAAAGCACAGTGTAGATTTACCGTCAGTCCTGATAAAGAGAACCCAGTACTAATTTAAAAGATGAGTGCATGATAAAACAGGAAACATTAAGGCTAAAGCATATCTGGGCTTTAATAAATGACTTGTTACTACATGTCGTAAAATACAATGCATATTTTCAGACCTTCAAACACCAATTAAAAACTACTGCTTTTAAGTCCATTCTTAGTTTGCACATGTGGTATTAGTGCCTTTCGAAAGAAGCGAAACCATGTTTCACTTCATTGTCAGTAACCTAGTTTCACCACAAAGATGGGTTTGAAACTCTTAATTTTGTATCATTGTTTCAGAGCAGTTTGGATGTCATTTAAAGAATCATGTGCCTTGTTATGACTGATCATGAGGCAGAACTGTCTGTTTCTAAAACCCAATGATTAATGTGGCGCCACCCAGTGTCAAGAGCTTTTCTGAAATTCAAAGGACCCTTTTACCTAATTAATATGTTAGTGTTGTAAGATCATGTCAAATGATGATATCAATACCTTAAAAACGATTGGTTTAGAAAATATAAAATGCTGCTTCAGTTTTTTTTTTTTTTTAATCATCCAGATCAAAATAGACAAAAGCAGAACATGATCTGCCCTTCTGGTAGAAACGCTCACCCCGACACGTTAAATAAAAGAAATAGATAAAAAAGCAAAACTACTTTGAACACAGTAGCTGGAGTGCTGCCAGACGGCCCGCTGTTTATTTTCACAGCCGAAGTTCTGACCTCAAAGCAACCTTGCTGCCTTTATCTAACCCCCTGGAGGGACAGATTCTGCAGATACCATAACTGTATGGGCAGGGCTGTGACCCTGTGGACTGATTCTCAGAAATCTACCTTTTTCTCATGAATTATAAACAGGAGGGTAAGTGGAACATTGACATCTGTCCAAAAAGGACCTCCATTTCCAGTGATGGTAAAACTTACAAATGACCAACTATACTCTAAATAATTACAATGTATTAACACAGCATAGAAAGAACTACGTTTTCTGCCTTGGGAATGTGTTTAAGCCCCTTTGGGAGTATTGACAGGACAAATACAAAGGGGTTTTACACTGTATGAGATATCATGAGAGGAATTTGAGGAATTCTAATTAGTACCTGGAGATACGAAGCTTAGACACACAGTCCTTATACTTAAAGGGCACAATCACCTTTAGGCAACCGTCTGTTCCCTGGAATTTGTTACAAACACTCACTGAATAAGACACAATAGTAACTTTAATATAAGTGTTTATTGAAAATTAACAAGGACAGTAAAAGAAATGGAGCTTTTAGAGAGATATGAAACATCTGAAAGGACAGAAGCAGAAACTGCTATAACATGACTGGCTTCTTAATCAGGGAGATAGAGGCAGAGGTGGTAAGATGGATGACAACAGAAAAAAGCAGTCATTTCAAATATTAGCCTTCTTTTGAGAGAGGTTGATCTTGTCCCCAAGACTCAGGGCCATTCCCTGTGGAGAGAAAATATTTGTTACAAAAACACTATTACCTTGTTATTAATCCATGATATAAAAAATCTACAAGTTCTCATTCAGAGACAATATTTGAGCCTTTATTTCACAGATTGCTATCATTTTAGAGGCACACCAGCTGTGACCCACCTGACTTTTGGCCCTAATGCGTATGTGTCCGGTGACTGGTGCATCGGGCCCCAGATGGATGGGCTTCTCGATGCTGACGTTAGCCAGGGCATCTTCTCCAAAGATGGAGCGAGCATACAGGTTAGCAGCCATGAAGCCACAGAAGCCAGACAGTGCCTGATTTATTTTATAAAACAAAAGGGAAGAAAATCTGTTAAACATACAAACATCCCAGAAAATTTTGTTTAAAAATCAATGTTGACCAATGAAATAAATGAAAATCTTCAAAGTACAGAAGCAGAGGACTGACGGCTGTTGAGTGGATCTAGTAACTGACCTTTTCAGGAGTCAAACACTTCATGTTAGTGGACTTTAGGATATGCTGTAGATATTCATTCAGATCGGTGATGTTGGTGTTTACCGTCACCTACAAACAAGACATTATACATTTCTTAAACATGATTGTTTGTAATCTCAAATAAACATTTTTTTTTTTTTTTATTAAAAGGGAAATTGGTTTAAATTAAGAGATACTGCAGAGGTAAAGCTAACCTTGTTTTCCCACTCAAACTCTGCCCACATCTGTCTGAACTCTGCGTCTGTGCAGGAGGCTGGCTGGATGTAATCCATGATGTCAATATGAATGTCGCTGAGTACAACACAGTTTCTGTCGCTGGCAGCACCAGACACATCGTAGACTAAAGAAAGGGAATCAAATGAATACAAAATGCATATCAGCAGAAACAACACCTTGCCTGATGTCTCTCTCTTACCAATGTTGCCAAATATGATCCCATTCTCAGTAGAAGCCACCTTGACATTAGCCTTTATGTTCGCAAAATCATGAGGGGCCAGAGTTAGAGGCGAAGGCTTTTCAACCAACTTGAGATCCCCTGAAGAGTAAAATAAAAAGCTTAGTTCAAATAACATAGGAACAGAAACCTATAGCTTTTTGCTCTCAGAGTAAGAAAGAAATGAAAAAGACAAACCTAAAGTGGCCAACTCCAGAGTGCAGTTCTGAAGAGTGTCACTTGTTTGGTTGACCACCAACACATCCAGGACAATGTCGTACTGGTTCACATGGACATAGGCTTCAGCATACACTGGGTCTGAGAAGCCTGTTAGCTGGGTCACCTAGTATGAAAAAAATACATTTAATCAAGGTATTAGATGCCTGTTTTATATGATCAAATACTTCACATTATTCATTTTCAGCAGATTTTGATTAAGTTTTAGAACAAAGCCATCAGGGGCTTTTTCAAAGAAGGAAGATAGCAGATAAATATTTTGGCTTAATTAAGCCTTTGTTTTACTAAACTAGTGAGACATAGGTTACCATGGTAATTTATTCTGTGCAGCTAGCCTTTTTCATACCAGGCTAACAATCGCTAACCAATAAGAAATTGATTTGTTTTGTCCATGATTCAATTCTCTTATCTGTGTTATTCGTATTTTTTGACAGCCTACATTAAAATACAACTAATGTGTATTGTTATTTAGTCAAGTCTACTCAATGCCATTATTGAAATTATAGTTGCTATGTAGACAATATTAGTGTTTGATTGTGTTTTTTAATACTGCTATTGTTTAAAGTGTGAGAGAGAGGCCTTTAATAGAATATAGCTGCGTTAAGATTGTTGGATAAATGGCTGACAAAGAAGCAAAGCCTTTGTCCATAAAGTGAGGCCCTGAAAGTAGCCAAAAACAGACGTATCTTACTTTACATTGGCATGTCCTTTTGTTGAATTTTCCTGTTAATTTCCTGAGCATTAGTGCTTCTCTAGGGATAGCATCCGCTAACTGTGTAATCTGCTGGGTTCCAAAATCAGCTCTGCACAGAACAGTATCATGCCTTTATAGTGTTACGCTCAACTTTTTCTCCTAATGGTATATTCCTGCATGCAGTAGGATGGTGTATTTGATATTAAAAGTAAATATACACATCATCATAAAATGTCCAGACCACAGAAGAATGAACTGCATCAAGGAAGGATTGTACTATATAATTAATTAGGCAACACATCTCAAAATAAACTTTTAAACAGGTGATCTTTTTTTGTATTTCTTTTTAAACAGGATTCCTTAATGCCATCAATGTTGGACTGCACACAAATCAGGATAAATGGTTTCCTCCTGGACCACATGAAGATAATATTGCTAACAGAAAATCCCAACATTCAGGTTAGAGTAAGTAATGGTTTTGCCTACTGTCAGTGTTACGACATATTTATTATTTATTATTATGTGTATTAAATTACACAAATACATTTTATTGCTCAAGATG